TTTGAGCTTGTTGAAACTTTCTTCGTTACTAGTAGCAAATGAATCATCAGATGCTACTATCCGAAGGGCGGATTTGATGTTTAGGTTGTTAATTTTGTTGGAAATTAACTATGCCTTTAATTGTAGGCTGGAAAGTTTTTGGGATTCATGAGAGGATATCGTGGTTGTGAGGGTGAGGAGTTGTATAGTTGCGTCTTTGATTTGTTGGGTTAAAGATTTCTGAATCTCTGGATTGGGAGGTTCGAGAGTCATGAAGGAAAATGTGAAGATTGAGCCAATGATCGAGAGAGGAGAAGTTATTAAATAATGATTGAAGGCATGTGGAGGGGGCTTTGGCTACTTGTACTCTGGAACATATAGTAATTCTAGAGATAATGGGAGGTTTGTCGGATTTTAGGAAGTTGATGATGTCGCCATGAGGAGTAGGTTGGAGGGGAATATGTGTCTAATGTGGTTGGTATGTGGGCGTTATTGGATGAGGTGGAAGAATGGCTGTGAGTAGAAAAAATGGAAAGGGGATTTAGGAAAGGAGGAGAAGGACGCTTCCCGGATTCAGAACAAACGATGCCATTGGTTTTGTGTTTGGCGAAGAGGCCTGGTTTGGTGATTTTTATGTTTTTAGAGCATGCGGGACAGTGTACCATTGTGTGGATTGAATTGAGTGAAAAGACTTGTGAAAGAGGGAAGAAATGTCAAAATAATTGTGTGGTGAATGGGGATGTGGCAGAGAGTAAGAAGAAATAATCTACAGAGAATAATGATGTTGTAAAGATAAGGTTTTTTAATATAAAAAGGAGAATGGGAATAAAGATTGTCGGGGTTAGTTGGTGTTTGATAGAGGCTGATTATTTGTTTTAATAAATGTAATGGTTAGATAAAATAAAAAGACTGAGGAATATATATGAAAGGGAAAAAAAATTTATTTTGGGTATGTTTATGAAAGGGGAAAAAAAATTATTTTTGAGTATGTTTTCAGGTATTAAAAAAAAAAGTTTTATTTTGCAAAGATTAAGGGATGTATAAGAAACATTGAGCGATATAATTGTTGTATTTAATGTTGAATGGAAGTGTGATAAAGCAAAAAAAAAAAGAGATATAATGGGGAATGGACTTAAAGAATGTTGGAATTGGTGGGTTGTGTTTAAGGGTGAGTTATATAATTATAATGAAATATAATGGTGAAAAAAGAAAAAGAATTGTAGTATTTGAGGGGAAAAATTTTTTTTGATAAAGTTAAAGGTGAAAAGAGTATAATTGTATTAATTAATGGGGATATTGAGAGGAATGTAAGAGAATTTGGGTCTTGAAGAATATATTTTTTAAAAAAAAATTAATTTTAGGTTCGATTGTGAGGGATAAATGTGTACAAAAAAAAATATGCATGTAAAAAGAGAATTTGTGATTATGAAAGAAAAAATAAATATATATGTAAGTGTTAAATTAGTTGAAAGGTTAAATGTTTTTAAAAAAAATCAATATGTGAATTTATTGAATATTTAAATGTAATTTTAAAAAAAATCATTGTGTGAATTTATTGAATATATAATATGTGTTAGAAATGTTGAAATATTAAAAAAATTTATATGTAAATTTATTGGTATGATATAAGTGTTAAATTAATTAAATTTATTGGATATGATATGAATGTGTTATTGAATAAGTTTTAATGAAAAGTTTTGAAGAGAATAAAAAAGTAAGATATATTAGGGAACTTCTGGTGTATATGAAAAAAATGAAGGCTATCCTTGAATCTAAATTGTGTGGATTGAAGAGAGGCTGGGTGGTAGATTTTTTTTTTGAATTGATTGAAAATATGAGTAGTTTGATTGTATTATCAAATAGTGTTTGGCAGTGGCGTATCCAGGATTATCTTATAGGGGGTGGGAATTATTTTTGGGGCTTCGCCCCCAAACCCCTTTTACCTCCTACACCTTCGGCCGGGTCTTATGTTTTAGCTATTCTATTAAATTATTCATAATTTAATAATTATATTTCTATTTTTAACTATTATTTACTAATTCGTGCTTATGAATATTACCAACTATACATTCCCTCACCTTCACAACCACGATATCCTCTCATGAATCCCAAAAACTTTTCAGCTTACAATTAAAGGCAAAGTTAATTTCCAACAAAATTAACAACTTAAACATCAAATCCGCTCTTCGCTTAGTAGCATCTGATGATTCATTTGCTACTAGTAACGAAGAAAGTTTCAACAAACTCAAACTTAAGCACCCCTCCGGAGTTGATTTTATACCTCCACCTCCTCCCAATATTTTTCCTTCTGATTTCACCCTTGCCGAGGTGCGTAAATTTATTCTACCCTTCCATCACAACTCTTCTCCCGGTTACGATGGACTTCGTCCCATCTTCCTACAGGATCTTACATCCCCCCTCATAGTCAGCCAGATCCCAATTTTACAAAATTTAACAACATTTTATAACAAAATAGCACACGGACTCGTTTCCGAGTCCATAAGACCACTCTTATTCGGTGCTAAACTAATCGCACTCGAAAAACCAAATAAGGATATCCGCCAAATAGCAATCGAGACCATATTCCGCCTTCTTGTCGCTAAACTAATATCTTCCAAAATTAAGGACAAAGCAGCCTTAATTTTAGCACATCCCCAACTAGGAATCGGCATCCAATGTGGCTGCGAAATGGCCACACACGCTATTCGTATCCATCTCCAAACCAACCCAAGTAACTAAATCCTCGTTAAAATTGATTTCTCTAACGCCTTCAACTCCATTCGCAGTTCTCACTTTCTCCCACAAATGTACCACTCATTCCCCACCTTTTCTCAATTCTTCCATTCCTGCTATTCCAAGCCATCTCATCTCCAATTCAACAACTATTTACTTTCATCATCTGAAGGGATCCAACAAGGCGATCCTTTGGGCTCGATACTTTTCTGCATTGGAATCAACGAAATGGTCAAAAACATTTCTTCCAACTGCAATCTTCCACTCCATTATTGGTACGACGACGGAATATTCTGCGGTCCCCCTAACGAGGTTTCTAAGGCACTCACCATCATCAAAACATATTCCCATGCTATCGGTCTCTCACTCAACGACCAAAAAACTGAGATCTGCCTATTTCATTGCTCCATCCCATTCAACCACAACTTCCACACAACGAAACTCTCATCCCTCAGTCATCTCGGCTCTCTAGTCTGTGGCCTGGAATCCATCAATCACTTCTTCACTAACGCATCACCTAGCTTATTTCATTTTAATAACATCTCTACGTTTCTCCCTACTCATCAAGCTTTTTTTCACCTCAAAAACTTTTATTACATTTCTAAAATTCTCTATGCCCTTCGATCCACCTCAATTTTCAAATTCCCCGACTCATTAAAATCTTTTGAAATCTCCGTCAAATCTCTAGCCCAAGAGATCCTTAATCTCAGCTTTAACCATAATTCATGGTTACAAGCATCACTTCCATGCAAGCTCGGGAGTATCGGCTTACGCTCACCTCTAACTCTTTCCATCAGTGGTTTCATAGCCTCTCATCTTTCATCTGACTCACACATTAGCTAGCTTTCTAACTTCCTTGACCCCTTATTAGCAGAAGCCCAGACCATTTGAGACAACTCCGTTGTCCCAAATACTCCACGACCCTCCTCATGTTCACAAAGAGACTGGGATATTCCACTCAACGAAGGCTCAGTCACTTACCTAAAATCGAGCCTTCACGACGACGATCTCACAGTTTTTCATAATTTGAACCAAGGATCTGGTTACGAGTTTCTGGAAACCATACCCTCCAACAACCTCGATTTGTTGCTCTCCGCTGACGAGCTAAGATTTGCTATTAGACTACGGCTCAATTGCGAAATTGTTCTTCCGTACCAATGCAAACATTGCGAAACCAGTGTCGACAGCAAGGGTAGACACTGCCTCCATTGTCGCTTTTGTCGTGGCCGTTTTTCACGGCACACCAAATGCAACGACATCATTTTACGCGCCCTCAAATCAGGAGGCATTCCATCTAGACTAGAACCAACCGGAATTTTTAGAACCGATGGAAAACGTCCTGATGGAATGTTTTTGATCCCCTGGTCAAGGGGTCAGCTCCTGGTTTGGGACTTCACCTGCATTGACCCAAATGCACCGCCTTCGCCTTCGCAGAATCCCGGAAAACCATAAAGTACAGTTCCTTAGACCCTTCTTTCTTATTCATACCCATCGCCTGCTCCATTCTCACCACCTTCGGTAGCAAACCCCAACGTTTTTCCAAAGAATTAGGCAAACGGATCCGCGAAAACACCGATCAGCCTAAGGAATCCCTCTTCTTACGCCAAAGACTTGCTACCGCCATCATTCGCTCTAACTATCTAAGCTTCATCTCTTTCATTGAATAACCTTCCTTTTTTTTTATCCCATATCCTTTCCCGTAAATTCTATTTCCATATTTTTCACCTTTATTTATTTTACTTTTTTAAAAAATTAATTATTTGCTACTACATTTTGACAACATATCATATCAGTAAATATTCCATGACCGGAAAAAAAAAGTTTAGCAATGCAGTATTTACTTATAATCGTTTCATATCATTATAAATCGTGTATAAAATACTCAAAAATATTGTGGATACAAAAAACCTGGCATTCACAATTAATAATTACCTTCTTCTAAAGTATATATATCTAAAAGCGTCAATATTTGTCAATTACAAACTGACAGCCAAAACAATTACAATATTTATAGAAAAATTTTGAGAAATAATGTATTACATATGACTAATTTATGTAATATGGGTTGATTTCAACCCTAGAGAATAGCGCTATAATTGATATTTGTTGTGGTAGGAGTGCCCAACATTGTTCCCTTGCATGACAGAAATATAGAGTATTTTAAAATCATTTAAACAGTGTTCCAGCCATGCGATAATTCACCTCAAGATCGGGGGGGGGGAGCAGATATCTATCCTGGGCAGCTATTTAAATTAAAACCACCAGAAAATAATATATTCTTTTGAAACCTATAATGTTGTTGAAATAATCGTCGTTGACTCTAAAGTCCCCAAGGTAGGCCAGGGTTTTACCGAGTAGGAGCCTATCAGCCTTTTCGGAATCGAATTTAAGTATGTCAAAATGGTCGTCAAAATGGTATCGTTTTAGGTAAGGTACCCTAACGTAGACCTAAATAAGTATTTGTCAAATATAATAGTTTAGTTTTGACATAATTTTTACTTTCTTTAGAAAAAATAATGTAGTAAGAGGTCGGCGCGCTTAGGGTCCAAGAAAATATATTTTCGGGCCGGATAGGTTAGCTTGAGCAAAATCGGTCCGGGTCGAGTCTAGAACCATTTTAAAAAAATCATCGAGGGCAGGTTTAAATCAGTATAATAATATTAAAAGTTGAAGATTTGTGACTAAATAGGAGTTCAGTAAGATAACGTAGATAATGTAACTGCGTTACATTTTTTGAGGAAAAGGTACGCCATTAATTACTTGTTTTTAAAGGTAACGAGTAACAATAACACAAAAGGTTATTTTAAAACTCTTCTTAAAAAATATTTTTTTTATTTTATTATATATTAAATTTTATAAATAATTTAAGCCGATATTTTAATTCAGACCAACAACCAAAATTCTACCGAGGGCTCAAGGAAGTGTAGTTATTTCGGCCTTAGTACGTCTGCGGTAGATAGATTGGTGGGATTAAACTTGTTAAATATTTATCAGAGAGCTGCATGCACAGGCCAGGCCTGGAAAATTTTAAGAAAATACCCGAGCCAATATTTTAAAATCTAATATTTTAAATCGCCATTATTAGCTATAAATATTAAAAATAAATATAATATATTTTTAACAGGTCCTGAAAATATAAAACCTGGGCTGAGTATTTTAAAAAATGGTACATTTGCAGGCCTCTGATATTTATTGGTGATATAATTTATGGAGTGCGGCATTGATGCCTCCCCAGACTAAATAAACAATTCAGGCCTTGCCTTCTTTCGAATCTAATGAAGGATTATGACATAAGTGTGGCTGGACGAACCCTAAGTGCAAACCAATGGCGACTCTCAATTGTTTATCTGATGATAAAAGATAAACAAGGTTATGACTAGGGAGCGCTTCTAACAATTTGCGACTAACAAATCCGTTTTCTGAATGGAGAAGTTGGCTACACTATAAAGGTGGATTGGTAGATATGAATTGGGAGTTAAGTATGAAGGGTGAAAAGGTTTGTATGGATGAATGATGGGAAAGGAGTGTTTAAAGGTTTGTTAGCTCCCATCTGTTTGTTGCATCACCCAACAAATAAACGGTGGGGGATATGAAGCCAGAGATCATAGTTATTTATTAGATGATAAGAAGGATAATAAAGATAGAAGATTAAGAAGACTCTAAGCCATCCGAGTTAGCAGATATTGGGCGAGTTGAATAATTAAAATTGTTTGAATTTGTCCTGAATTTAAGTCGCGAAATTGTTATTCGTGAAGAAGAATGAAGAAAGGAATATAAAAATTTTGGAATGTAGATTGCGAATTAAGAATAGACATCGATGTTCTGGTAAAAGGGATAAGATTATACAGTCAAGATTGTTAATATAATTAATATTGAAGCAATCAAGGTATATTAATTTATATTTTCTAATATAATCATTTATTTTTAAAAAAATCTTATTTCTTTAGGTGAAGATGATTTAAATCTGCTCAGGTCCCAGTAGGAATCATTTTTTAAACAATTAAAATTGTTATTGAAAATAAATAATCATTTAATATTTTTTAAGTAACGAGTAACACATTACTTTTTTGAATATGTAACGTAACACGTTCCTTATTGACAAGGTAACAAACAATAATGCATTCCAAAGCTACCACCCCCCCCTACCATTTCTTTCAATTTTAATGAAAAATTTGCATTATAACCACCCCCCCCCCCATCTAGTTGTAAAAGTTTATGGTATCAGTAAAAATTTAATCAGTATTAGTACAATGCATCCTTTCTGAATCTTGGTACATTTTTTAAATATCTGTATTAGCATCTAGATAAGGATAAGTCCGCATCTAGATACATTAGAAAGTTATCTTTTAATAACTCTGCATAATAGATAATATTTAGGTAAGAGGTGGCAATTATGATTTTTTCCTGCATACATAAAAAAAGGGAAGTATAATAAATAAAAACCATTTCTTCATCTTCGGAATTTTTACTAGAATTATCTTTGGCATTTCTGTTATCCAAAATTTTATCATCGTTTAAACTGGAATCTATAGATTCACCTTTGTTGACATTCGTCAAGGAATAATTTTGATGAAAATTCAGCAAAGATGAATAAAGTGCGAGGTAGGGTGTTATGTGACTCTGGGTTTCTAGAAGGGGAAATGACAAGCTTTCAGTCTGCGAGATTGGCTTTTGTGTAGGTGATTGCGAACTAGATATCACAGGGTATATTTCTTCTTGGAGCATAAGATGATATGCCATTTGTGCAGCACCTTGTCAAATTTTTTTTTTTTATAATAAGAATAAAACCAAAATAATAATTTGTTTAATGACACCCTTGATGCTCATAATTAAATAATCTTTTTATTAGATCAATATTTCTTAGATTATTGGATATTATTAATATTAATAAAGAAAAATTGATCTCATAAACAGATTTTAAAAATGATAGCTATTAAATCGTGTCTGAATTCAATATGAATACAACCTAAGGGCAATATTATTCTGATTAATAAATGTCATCTAGATCTAGAATTAATCATACCTCATAAGCTATATAATTTATTTTAAAAAATGCAATAAGCATAAATTTATTATTATTATTTATTACTTTTCCCATCGTCCTTTTTGATAAAATGGTCCATAAAAATGTTGGCAGTGAAAACATCAGGAAATATTCTATATTTGACCTATTAAAAAATTTGATATTTTTAAAATAATATTTTTATACAGTTTCTCGCAGCATATTAATAATATCTTTATCTCTTCCAAGTAATAAGAATAATCTTATAACAGCTGCATGAGTTGAATTATAGATTGAAGAACAATTTTTTGTTAAACAAAATCTAAACTTTTCTTTAGCACATATTTATATCAATTAACTACTTTGTTAACATTTCTAGGATATTTTCTGCATGGTCATCTGTTATACTTCTATTACAATACTAAAATTAATATTATTAAAAATAATATAAACTATTAACTATATCAAGATCTATTGGTGAAATTATTTTTTCTCGATCATATTTTTGCAAAATTTGAAAAGCATAATCATCTGTTTTAACAATAAATAAAGATAGATTGATAGATTACATATTTACCCATCTTTATAGGTTTCAATAAAGATGTATTAAGTCTACTCTCCCATATATCACTACAGGGATATACCAGAGATAAAAATGATCTTTTAAATTCTATTTTATATAAAATATACTTATTTTTAATGTTATATTACCTTTATATACAGTTTGCCTAATTTTTTGAACAAGCATGCTTTTATGAATGAATTTATATTTAAATGGCCATATGACTAATATTATTTATACTAAACATTGACATCTGCAATTAATCCCATAATGATACCAAATAAACAAAGATTAAATAAAGATAGGGAAAATATGTATCATCTTATCATAATTATTCTCAAATAAATTAAAATATTACAGGAGGATCTGATAAGCAAAACACAATGAGCACAGACAGACCTGAAGGGTAAACCCATTGAGCAGACTCTGAATTCTGGGCAGAATTTAATATAGTATAGTAATAAGTTAATAGTATTGTTAAATAGTACATTCGATTCCAACCTTATTATATTTTTTTAATAAAATTAAAATACATATATTATGGAGTGACAATATAGGGAGGGGGGGGCATAGGGGCTAAACCAGAATTTCAAGAGCCCTCTGCGAATTTTTGAAATTTTGGAAATACCTAAAAATGGTAATTTTAAAAATTTTAACTAAAAAATAGGTAGTTTAAAAATTTTGGCTAAAAAAATATCATTTTTAAAAATACCAACAAAAAAACATTTGAGCTCCCTGAGTGTAAAGATTAGGGACGCCACTGATTGTATGTCTTTTATACATAAAATTTGGAGCCTGAAAAAAATTTTCAAAAATATTTTGAAGAAGATCTTTTTTTAAATAATAAAGATTTTTGATCAAATCTTACCTAAAATGAAATCTTTTATATGTAAATTTGTTTCAACTATATTTCGAAAATATTTTGAAGATGCTTTTTCGTTACTTTAACTTTTTTTACTTATAATTCGAAATATTTGTGTTAAAAGTTATTAAAAAAATATATTTTTGTTGATTTAAATATTTAAATGATAGATGAATATTAAAGTTATCTGTAATGAACTTACGTTTATTTTAAATTTTGCATAAACAAATTTTTTTTGAACATAAAAACCCATTATTATTAACGAACGTCAATGTACTAATAATATTATAGATTATTGTTATTTTGCATAGAAAATGTTTTGTTTTTGCATAGCAATTTTTTTATATATAAACTCGTAATTTTTTATAAATCATAATCAATCCGATAATCAATCTGTATTTCAGTGTGTATTTGGAAATAAATAACGTGTAATCTTTTAAAAGGTATTATTAGATTTATATTGAATATATTTATCTAACTATTATTATACGTAAAACTTCCAAACACGACAATTTGTTTTATAATTTTTATTGCTTTAATTTTATGATTATATTTTGTATTTATTTTTGTTACATGATGGAATAAATAAAGGGACGATTTATTAAAAGGTAAATTTTATATATAATTATTTTTATTTTAGTTATTAATTTATTACAATCTCAATTTCTATCCAAAATTTTCACTAAATCTACACAATATAATCTCAACTTCTTCTCCAAAATTTCAATATATGTCACATTAATTAGTAATAAAATTTTGGTCAATCATAAGATTAAAGAGCGACTGAATTTATTTATGCTTCAAATTTTATCAATGTTTAGGGCTCAATTTTATATTGGTTTAATCCATTTGGTAGACAGTGTAAAGAAAAAAGAAAATTGACAAATTAGGGACATGCTAAAATGGATAATTAAAAAAAATATATATTTGGCTTGCATTCAAATATGAGAACCACAAAAAAATTGAAATATAAACAAAATGAAAACTACGATGTCTCGCTTCAAAAGCGAACCAAACATTTAGAAATACTATGAAACTTGTACCAACCCATTAAGTAGAACTTAATTGGCATATTTCATTATATTATTAAATTTATAATTGATTGGTTTTTAAAAATTATATAAAAATTTTATAATATTATAAATTATAATTAAAAAAAATTTTCAGGATTTACTGGGTTTCAACTCTAATACCAGCTCCCCCCCCCTTTGTTTAAACCACCTTAATTAGTGAATTTGAATTAAAAACTATCACGCTAATATTCATGTAATATGCAGTTTGTGACTGTTGAACGAAAAACTTATTATAAAATCATTTTTCTTAAATATTTTTTTTCCCAACCCTATAAATCAAATAAAGCTGTCAAGTTGTCATATGGAATACCAAACTTAAACCTTTTTTAAGATAGAAAAAATTTGGGAGAGTTAAATTTAAGAAAATGTTTTCGCCAATTAATTATAGGATAAATTGAAATTTCAGATTAGCTTTAGAGGGTGTTGAGATTTTCTATACAAGAAACACTATAGCTGAAAGAACGAGAATAATATATTAAGAAGTGTCCTAATGTTGTAATTAGAGTCTTTTATCAAAAAATAATTTTTATTTTAGCCTTTTTGAGGTATTGGTTAACAATTGAGACATAAAATTCAGTCCAGCGTCGACATGATTGGAACAGCGGGAATAGGAGCCACTTGATTCCATTTTTTTTAAAAAAAAGGGGATGCGCTATAGGAGGATAGTGGGTAGGGTAAATCTAAAATAATAGATTTAGAGCAAAATAATTAAATTGACAGATATTTTATTTATAATTTTTATTATTAATTCACAGATAACATTTTAACAGTTTGACTTTACAAACGCTCAGAACTTATTTTTAGATTAAGTTTAGTCACAGCGAGTTGATTATCGTCAACCAATATATTTTATTTTATCCTAGAGTTAATTATGATGCCAGAAATTGTGAATTTGTAGGAGGTAGGTTATAAATAGCGGCTGAATTAATTTTGATAGAAACCCTGAAATCAAAGGAGCAAAAAGATCAAAATATGCAAATGGCCAAATTTTTAAGCCCAGCTACTGTGATAATTTTTTCCAAGCCCGTTCCGTTTAAATTTATACCCAGTCTGGTCCCAATTTTTTTTAATAAGGTTTCCGGCCCTCAGAAATATATTCTATATAAAAGTAACCTATCAATAAACACAATATGTAGGAAAAGAAAAAATAAATAATATTTACGAAAAATGCTCATTGATAGCAAGGTCATTTAATTATTAAAATTATGAGCAAAATATGATAAAATTAGGCTTGAGAAAAAAAAATTATATTTTCTATTAAACGCGGTTTTTTTGCATGGTCCGTTAATTTTTTGCTCGGCTCAACCCAGATAAAAACAGATGCTACTTGGGCCGAGCCGATATCTGGAAATTACGGATCTCCATTATAAATATCTTCAGTATTTTTTTTATCAATTTTCCGGCTATTATAAAAGCATATGGCGGGCAAAATCCCCGATTTTTTTAGAGGAATAGGGTTTGAAAGGAGGATTTGCTTCCACAAATTTTTAATGTCATGTAGAGGCTAATTTAACCAAATATTTGAAGGATGCCAAAAGTAATTTTGTTAAGTTGACTGAGCAAGATCTCATGTAAGGTTCCGAAGGCAAAACACGAGGACTTTGACAAATTAGATGAGAAAACTGTGGGAGCAAAACCTAAGATTTTGAATGCCCCTTTTTACTATCAAGCAATGTTTAAATTGAAAGTAGTCATGCATGCCAGAAAATGGCTATTACAAAGTTGGGTTAATATTTTTTCTTCCTTCCCAAAAAAAACGAAATAATTGATATTTCAAACAAAATATTCCAAATTTATACTTGCATATTTCATTCAAATTCGGATACTATTATAACCAATCATTTACGTTAATTGGAACTAGTAACGCAGTTATCGGTTTGAAGGTGTATAGGTTTACCAACTATCAATTCCTTTAAATATTATATTTTATTTAATAATTAGATTATATTCTTACAAAAGAATGAAATAAATCAACAATCATTAAAATGCTATTTCCATTTTTTTTTACAATTAATAATTCTATAACATACCAGCAGCTTGATTTGAATATTTTTTTTAAACCCAAATAAAGCCATGTCGTTAAAAAGACAATCATTAAATAATAATCAATTGATAGTTATATTATTTAACGAAAATTCTTTCAATATTGATTATTTTTTTAGGAAAAAGAAACACCAACTATTCATATTAATTTGAATGATATGACTGAAACAATGAAGAAAGATGTCATTGATTTAGCTACTATAATGTGTAAACAAAATCAAAAGGACCATAAATTAGCCAGGAATTTAAAAATTGAAATGGATAAGTATATATATATATATATAGTATATTCTTTTAGATAAGTAATCTACTAAACCTAAGTTAGTAAAGAGACAGATAATTATTAATGGGTATCTAATATTTTTATTTAAAATTAGATGATAAACGTTTAGTTTTATGTCCAGTAAAATATAAATCTTATGAGAGAAAACATATTTAACTAAATATGTTAATATTTTACGAAAATTAGCTTACATTTGCAATATACTGTATCATGAATGATATCTGTCATTATCTGCACTAAATTTCGAATACAAAAAAAATGTAATGTGTCTTGTTATATGAATAAGTAAAATATAAAAATCAAATATTTTATTATGAAAATGAATTTTTATATTGGATTCCAATTGGGGTTACTTCTATCTAATGTATCTATTGTCAATGCCTACATTAGATATTTTCTTCCAACAAGCATCTTCGTGAAACAAAATAAAGCAACACCCGATTTCCCTTACCCCCCAAATTTATTTAATTCCTACCCCCTTAGAAGCCTACCATATACCCCCTTCCCCCACAAATTCAGTTGCGCCGACGAAATATCCGGGGCCGGCGCAATTTTTAAAAAATCTAAGACGGCCGGCGGTGCGCCGATTTTTAGCCGCCATCAATAAAATCGGCGTAAATCGGCGCATATATAAATTTTTATAAGATAAATTTTTTTAATTGCTTATTAATTTTTTAAAAAGAAACAAATAAATATACACTATTCTACAGGTATCTCGGCATATTTTTTAATATTCATTTATTACATCCAAAATCGATTTTGTAATTTTATAATTATCATGTATAAAAATTA